AATCACTCAATCAACTGCTGGCAACACACTTTAAGAAAAAACAACATAAATGATCACACTAGTCTATTTATTGTAAACAACTTAAAAGGCAGAAAACAAAATAAATATACATAAAAAAAACATTACATACAAACTAAACACATACACACATGAAAACATACATACACACATATATACATACATGCACACAAACATACATCAATAGATCCGATTTTGAGAACACGTTAGAGTTTGTCTCAGTTTGACGAGATCAACAAACAATCAATCAAACATTCATTCAATCAATCAATCAAATCCTAATAGCAACAATGAAATCATCGTCCTTCAAATAGTATAAATGAAAGGCAAGCAAACAAAAATCCCAAAAAAAGAGAAAAAAATCATACAGCAAATTCGGCATAATGTCCAACGGGGCAAATAGAGACGAGGGTAGAGTCGGGGTCGGACGAAGAGGCGAGTACGGTGGTACTGATGCCTCCGGGACAACCGGCCAGACTGCCCCCACAAGCATTTCTCACTAATTTGTTGCTACTGCTGTTTGTGTTGTTGTTGTTGACGTTGTTGTTGTTGTTGCAGTTGACGTTGTTGTTGATGTTGTTGAGTGTCTGACAGCTGATGGCTCGCTCCAATGTCGTCGTCGATGATGTTGACGTGGTTGATGACGTCTTCGAGTTGTGCGGCGGTACGAGGGACTGCAGGTTCAGACGACTGTTTGTCTGTTTGATTGTTTGAGGGCAGCACGTGAATGTCTTATTATCAATCGAACTCTGAATGACTAAGTGCTATGGGAACAACGGTAGCGACGAATTTTATCAATGGATTCAACAATAATTAATTAATCACAATCAAACAGTCAGTATCAATCAATCAATCAATTAACCAATCAATCAATTAACCAATCAATCAATTAACCAATCAATCAATTAACCAATCAATCAATTAACCAATCAATCAATTAACCAATCAATCAATCCATCAATTAACCAATCAATCAATCCATCTATCAACCAATCCATCAATCAATTAATCAACTTACCCTCTGTCTGAGCTTCATGGTCATGGTGTGTGGCGACGGTTGGGGCTTCTTGAATATCGAACCAAGTTTTGAGGTGCTTACCGGGGTGTCCAGCTGTGAGAAATTAATTTTAATCATTATCATCTTAATCATCATCATCGTCATTAATCATTATCATCATTGTCGTCATTAATCATTATCATCATCGTCGTCATTAATCATTAACCATCATCAACAAAACAAAATCATCACAACTCCAGAGAACAAAGAGACCAACCTTTCTAGTTTTATTGGGGGTCTTGGACGGGGTCATGTTGGTGTTGTTGGCGAACCTCTTGTTGCAGGGGGTGGCAGGCCGACTACCGAACATCACCTCCTCCTCCATTTGCCTGACTTTTTGCTGATGCTACGTGGGTTATGAAAAAAAAAATCGGGTCAACCAATCAGAGTTCATTTAATTAGGTTATTCACGTGCTAATCAATCGACCACAATCAAACAACTAGCCAAATCACAGTCAATTTATAACCAACCTAACAATTATTGACCATTTAAGATCATACACAACTAAACCACTAGCCAATCGCAACCAATCTATAACCAACTAGTCAACAACCGACCAATTAAAATCAACCTACAACCGGCCAATTACAGCCAGCCAATAGCCAATCAACTTACTCTAATAATTTTCTCATTCTCCTTCTCTGCCAGGTAATTCTCCTTCTCTCTCCTGATGAACTCTTCAAAGGCCACACCTCCGACCAAAAACTTTCTGTCGTTCTCTCTCTCCCAGCTCTCGATCAGCATCTTCACTTCCTGTTCGACCTGTTATTATTCAATTGGTTTGTAAAAAAAAGTTTTCACCAACTCACATCACACATACACGGTGACACACACACGCACACAGACAGACACACACACACAAAAACAAGCAAACAGACGAATAGAAATTACACTAACTTTAGGCAGATCAACGGCTACCTTCTTCCTCTGTTTCTCCTCTTTCAATAGATTCCCTCCCCTATTGGAGTACCTGTCAGGATTGTTTGCCTTCCTCTGTGGAGATGTCAGAAAGAGATTGTTATCACAATCATTATCACATTTTCGTTAGCATCGCTTTCTTTGCAATCATCATCATCATCATCATCATCAACGCCATCATCCGCACAATCATCCTCATCACCACCATCATTCACACAATCCTCCTCCTCCTCATCATCATCATCACTATCATTCACACAATCCTCATCATCATCATCACCATCATTCACACGATCCTCATCATCATTAATTAGCCGACCTCCAGTTCGAGAAATTCCTGCCAGAGCAACTGCCTCCTGGCGACCAGGGACAGCATCTCCTTGTTGTTGTTGTAATAGTCATTCATCCTTCTCAGTTCGTCTTCGTGGGAGGCTAGCAACTCTTCCGTTAGATCATCTGTGGTTGTTGGGTTGTTGTTGAGTTGTTGTTGAGTTGTTGTTGTCGTTATGTTAACGTTGTCGTTGATTTACGAAGATGATGGCGATGAAGAGGATGATGTATGTTCAGGATGTTAATGTCGATGTTTCATAGAGGAAAGATGGTGGTGACGTTGGTAAAAGTTGAAAAATGATGGATTTAATGTTGTCGTTGTTGTTGGTTTTAATGTTGTCGTTGTTTTAAATGGGACAAGCATCAATACTATATATCATCATCATCATCAATACTATATCATCATCACCACCACCACAATTAATTAATTCAAACAAACCTATGTAGAAGGCTGTGAACTTCCTCCTATCCTCCTCGCATATGTAACACCTGGATAACAGTTGGAATACATTAATATATTATGTTAATGAGGTGTCCCAGTGAATAAATCAATAGTTAACAAATTAATGAGATACAAATTTATGCAGCCCCAACCTGTCCCAGATATGAAGCAACTCCTTCCTGGATTCGATGATGAACTTCTTTATGTTCTGCATCTTCAGCTTCTCCAATCGTGCCAATTCTTCCGTCAGCTGATTGAATAAATAATAATAAATTATGATAATTTATGACTTAAATTCATAACTAGATGCAACAACGAGTATAATCACAACGCTAAAAATAGCAACAAAAAACCATAGAACCAAAAAACGAACCATGAGAATGATCCTGTGTGACATTTTCCCAGATGACTGAACCTCCTTCTTGAACATCACTGACTTCTCGTCGTCAGCCAACTCCAATCTTTTATACAACTGCTCCACTTTCTCCATCATTGACTCGATCACATCCCCATTCTCGTCTAGCAGCTGCTTCAACTGTGTGTAGATATGATGTTGGAAAGTTTGAGGTGTGTTTCAATGTTATTCATTCATACATACAACACACACACACCACACATGAAAATTAAATCAAAACACACATACACACACGCACGCACACACACACAATACAAACCTCTTCTTTATACTTCTGTGCCCCTTGCAAATTATCCAAATTCATGGTGACAGAGTCCGATTCGCAGACGATCAGTCTTTCGAATGAGGTATTGGGCGACAGTTCCAGTTGATCGAGAAGGCTGAGGATGTCTGCATGCACATCCCTGAATATGGCCTGCCTCCTTCGCTGTTTTAGTTTTTTACGATCATATTTCGACATTAATTTCATCCATTCCTATTGAAGTTTATTGTTGTTGCCATCATCGTCGTTGAACGCACACCGTGATTAGAAAACATTTTTGTGGTCAGTATTATGATTATAATGAGGTAATATAAATAGAAGATAGCTGTGAATGCCTAAATGTCGTCAAATGAACATATGAACAAACAATCATTGCCACAACAACAACAACACACGTTTAGACGACATTTTCCCCGAGATCGGGGGTTGCCGTTTGGCTACCTATGATGAAATCATTGCCACAAACACACACACACAAAACATTGATACAAATGCATACTCTAGCAAACACAAATATCTATACATAAACGCACGCACACACACACACACAAACCTTTTCTTTTTCCATTTCCTCTATATGCTGTTCAAAATCCTTGAGTTCTTGCAGCGATGGAACAGCTATGGACAGGATGTGATATGGCAGAGTTGCCAGCTCCATAGATAATTCTTCGTCCTCTTTAATAAGAGCCTGATGGCAAATTAAAAAAACATTATATATATATATTTATTATTTCATTATCATCTTCATCAACATTATTATAACCATCCTAGATCCTAAATACCCCTAAATACTATCATCTTAATCTCTTAATTTCGATAATTCACCCTGACCCAACATCTTAAAGGCAATCATAATCTTTTCAAGAGAGGCGCAATACAGTTTTTGATACTGGTCCTAATAATCACAATCTTAATTTATCTCCATCACCCTCTTAATCTTATTGACCATGAAGACATAATTTATAGCATCATCATCTAAATGATAATCATCACCAAACTGACAATGAAATGATAAAAGTACCTTCAGTTTCTTCATCCTATCTTGTTTCTCTTTGTGTAGCAGTTCGACTTTCTGTCTCAAATCTTTCTCCGCTTGCAACACAGCTATTGATTCGGGCACCTGTTAATATAATTATTCATAATATTTACTTTAATATATAAATTTTTCTTTTTAATACTCATTTATTTATCTATGAGAAACAATTTTGAAATCAATATTTAAAATTATTATTGAAATAAATAGTAAATTGAATTAAATTGATGATAATTAAATAAGAAATTAATAAAAAAATAATGAACCTTATAGACAGGAATTCCAAGTTCAACACTCAAATGTTGAATCTCGATAGTGAACTTTTCAACATTCTCAATCAATTTATCTTTCAGGGCATCCTCCTCCTTCACCATCTCCTCCAGTAGATTACTCAGGTGGAGTTGAACGACCCCACGTCTCGATGTCCTAACATCGCCGGCGATCCCAATTCGGTCCCAGATGTTTGTCAGGCGCTCCATGGCCGACTCCACGCATTCGTGAAGTGGGATGGCCTCCTCACATCTGAAAAACATTTCAATTCGCAGTTTGGGATTGAAATTTATCATTTAATTACACTAATAACTTGATTTCAATGAACGATAATTTGGTGGAAATCATATAATTTAAAAATCAAGACATGTAAATGTGCAATCGCCTAATTCCAACTTTCCGCTTAACTAATTCTAAATTAGAATTTCTAATCAATCACGGCTATTAAATAAAAAATCGGACATAGAAATTTAATAGAAAAAGAAATGTATAACGAAAGAAAAAACTAACTTGATTATCATATCGAAGCAAAAATTTGAAACTTTGATTCAGAAAAACTTGAAATTTGAATCCGAATTTTGTTATTTTCATAGAATAAACTTTTTGAAAAAGTGCGCAAGGACCTTTCAAGCGATTTGATTGGCCTGCTCGCAATTATAAGGTGCAACGAGGTACAACTAATCAACAAAATATTTTATAAATTCTTCTCAACCTCAAATTTCGTTATTATAAAGCTTTTATAGCAAACTTTACTTTAAAACTCAATAATTTAATTTATCAAACAATTTATTTTCAATACAAAAATCTACTGTTTATATATATTAGTCAGAAATCTCAAGCTCTTAAACTTAAGACTTAAAGACTAGGTTTGTATATGTTAATTATATTACAATAGATATTTATAATAAAATATTAATAGCAGATTGTAATTAATTAAAAAAAAATTGTAAATTGATATCGTAAAAGCATAGAGTTCGGATTTATTACTTTATTCTAATTATACGTTACTTTACAATGGTACCAGTTCTACTTTTAATTTAAATTTAATTTTAAATTTTTTAACTGTCAGCTGTTAATGTTTCTATAGAAACATTTCAAACACTTTTTTTTAAATCTATCGAAATTAAATTCTCGAATTCTGATTTCAAAATGAACAAAGTTGTGTCAATTTTTTGTCAACTTTTTATTTTTATTTTGTTGAGTTTTTACAGATTTTACTGCGTTAATTTTTATTTCTAACGTTTGCCCATTTCAATTTTATAATTTATTAATATGATAATATTTTATAATATAAAAATAAAATTTACATAAATTAAAAAAAAATCGATGCTTTCTTTCCATAATTAATTACTATCAATACTCATCAATAAATTAATTTCTATGACTTTTACAACTTTTTCTTTAAATTTTATAGCCCCAAAACTCATTTACATGATTAATTATTAAATTTATTTAATTGATTTATTAGTCTGGGAAGTCTGACAAAGACATTGAAGACGATCCTAACGACGAACTAATTAGTGAATCACGCCACAAGGCTAAAAATAATGATGGTGATGACGATGATGATGGTGGCCCCAATGGTAATAGTGCCGACGAGATTGGTGACGAGATTGGTGACATTAGTGATGAGGATATTGATGATAATGGTGACGACGACGATGACGACAACGATGATGATGATGGGGAAGGTGAAGGTGACAACGAAAATGCGTCTGCCAGGCAAACTAACAATACTAATCATTCCGCTAAGGTTCAAAATCCTCTAAAAAAAATTTCTAATTTTATTTCCAAGCTAAGCAAAACGAGGAATTATTATTATTATATTATTAATTATATTATTTTTGTTTCCATATCATTGATTAATTATTTTATATCTGAAAAAAATTCGTTATTTTTTTTATTAATACCATTTCTTTAATTGACTAAAGAAGAGCAATCAAAAGAGCGGAAGAATTAGTTTGCTTGGCAAAAAGAAAACAAAGAACGATAGACGGAGTCATTTTTTCAAAAGGTTCATTCAGTCAATCATTGGTTTATTCATTTATTCGTTCAATCAATCAATCTATATCTACCTACCCGTCATCTATTCTATTTCCTTTGTTTATTGGCTTGTTTGCTGCATGATTTAGTACGAATTAAAAGTTTGAACTTTTAAAAGGTTCACTCAATTAATCAATCATTTATATATTCATTCGTCCATTCGTTCAATCGATCACTAGTCTATTTTTTCATTTATCATTCTTTCGTTCGTTTATTAGTTCGTTTGTTCAATCACTCATTCAGTAAGAATATATGTTTAAACAGTTCTTTCAATCTTTTTAAGTTATGATTTAATCATTTCTTCATTCGTTCGCTCATTTAATCATTGTTCCTTCATTCATTCATCATTCGTTCAATCTTTCGTTTGTTCCTTCAATCATTTTGTTATTATAAATTTGTTGGCTCATTGATCCGTTCAATCAATATGTCATTCATCCATACTTCTGATTTTCTTTCGTTCGTTCGTTCATTCGTTCATTCATTCGTTCATCATTCAAAACCTCAGAGCATCTAGTGTGATGAGTGTAGATAGCAGTAACAAGGCAGCCGGCAAGAAAGCCACGAACACTAAGAAAAGTTATTAACCATTTCTTCCTCCTTCATCTTCTTTTTCATCCTGCTCGCATCAATCATCTCATTTTGCAATAGCAGCGAGTTAGCTCACTCGGTAGAAGTGCCACGTTTCACGTTTTTGTTACCTCGCGATGACCTGGTTCGAATTCTGACGTACGCCGTTCCTGTATGATGGCATAAAATTCCAACCGTGAAATTATACATCAGCAGTTTTCTATCAAAACAACAACGTAACGTAACGAAAAGTCACAAACAATGACGTATCAACATTTGTGCAATCACAGATAAGAAAGCTAGGTTCTTCGGCGATACAGAAGAATTTGCTGAGAAAGAACCAGGTCTGTTTGATTAGCATAAAATTAACATAAAATTAGCATAACATTTGATTACAATTAACGTAAAATGTTTATAAAATTGACGTATAAAACCGCTAATTTTAAAACGGCTAACGATCATACATTCAGTCGAAACAAGCAAAGACGCCTAATTTACATAAAATTAACATTAAATTAACATATAATTATTATAATGTTAACACATAAGTAAAATCCCGACTTTAGAAACTCCGGAAGGTTTGATCCCGCTGTTTCTGACCATACGGACCCAGGAGCAGTTCGGATTGGTCACGGACGAGCACGTGACTCAGGATGACCCCCAGAAGCTGCTCCTAAAAACGGACATTCTGGACGACGTGGAGAAATACGGAGATACCAGCGATTTCTACAACGTCAGGAAATATATAATGGTCAGTGAGTGAGTGAATAAATGAGTGAGTGAGTGAGTGTGAGTCTGTGAGTGAGTGAGTCGGTGAGTGTGAGTTAGTGAATGAGTGAGTGAGTGAATAAGTGAGTGAATGAGTGAGTGAATGAGTGAGTGAGTGAATGAGTGAATGAGTGAGTGAATGAATGAGTGAACAATACGCGTCGGTTGATAACGACGATGATAGTAAAAAAAAATCAGAATATAAATATCGGATGACATAAAGACGAAACGACATGATTATAATGATGACGATGATGACGACGATGACGACGACAATGATGATGATGATGGTAATGATGATGGTAATGATGATGGTAATGATGACGAAGGATTACCCGGAAGAGGATATGTTGATCGTGTACGATCCGGAATTCAAGTACGGACAGAATTTCGTCATCGCCGTGTCCGTTGAGGCCAAGTTTCTCATATCTAAGGTGATGATGATGATGATGATGACGATGTTGGAATTGATGATGATGATGATTATGATGGTGGTAACCATGATGGAAACGATTTTGTGAGTGTGCGTGTGTGCGTGTGTGTGTGCTTGTTTGTGTATGAGATTGTTGTCAATAATAATAATAATATTAATAATAATAATAATAACAATAATAATAATAATAACGACCTCAAAAATTCTGGACAGTGGTTTGGTTTAGTTTTGACTGAAAAAGTATGAAGGAATATTCCAAATTATTTTTATTAGCATTATTATTATTATTATTAATATTAATATTATGTATATGAAGCTGTATATATCTTGCTTATCATTTATAAAATTGGTATATATATATATATATAATAGATATATATATATAGATATATATATATATATATAAATATATATAAAATGTGTGTGTATATGTGCGTGTGTGTGTGCGCGTGTGTGTGTGCGCGTGTGCGTGCGTGTGTGTGAGAATGAATTTTAAAGAGTGACTTAATAATAATAATTTTTATTGTGATAATAATAATATTAACAATAATAATAATTATTATTATACTAAATTTAATTATATAAACGTTAATTACGATGACTAAGTCTGAAAGCTCGGAGACTGACGGGGTTGATAAAATAATAATTATAATAATAATAATAATAGTTATAATAATTATAATAATAATAATTATTATTATATTAATATTATTGATTCAAATAGTGATGTTAATTACAACAACATTATTATTATTATTAATGTAAATGGTTGTGTTTCTAGTAGAAATAATAACGAAGCAGAGTAGTAGTTGTAGTGGCAGCAGCAGCAGTAGCAGTAGTTGTAGTAGTAGTAGTAGTAGTAGTAGTAGTAGTAGTAGTAGTAGTAGTAGTAGTAGTAGTAGTACTAGTAGTAGTAGTAACAAAACTATGTTATTTATAATATGAAGATCATAATAGTATTTTTAATTTTACTGTTTTGAACAGTAGTTTGGTGTGTTTATGAGTGTTCTAATAAACTTTGTAATTGTACATACGTGTGTGTGTGTGTGTGTTTGTGTGTTTGTGTTGTGTGCGTGCAATGCATTACTTCGTTTTCATGTTTGTGTGGTTTCTCTGTACATAAAACGTTCACGTTCAAGCTTACCTTTTTTTTTCAACCGGTTTTCAATTTTGATTTTTGATCATTACTATTACTTTCGTCATCATCACCATTCCATCATTATCATCATCATAGTTCAATCATTATCATTGTCATCCTCTAATCAACATCATCGTCATCATCATCATAGCTTAATCATCATCATCCACTATTAAACATCATCGTCATCAGGAATCTCCTGATGCAAATCTCGACGAGTCCAGCGCCCTGGATTCAAGTAAGTTAGCATCATCATCATCACCACCATCATCCTCATCATCGCCATCATCATCACCATCATCACCATCATCATCATCGTTATTGCTATCATCATCATCATCATCCTCATCATTATTATTGCTATCATCATTTTTTTCACTATCATAAAAATAGTCTTTTTATCGCCGTCTTATTATTACCATTATTTTTTTCATTATAATAGACACACACATGCAAACAAACACGCACGCACGCACACAAACACACACACACGCACACAGTGACGGTGCAGCATTACGAGCCTCCAGAACCAAGGGAGTGGGTGAGTCTCGGATCGGAGAAGGAGATAAACATGTGGGCTGTTCACGCACATCGGAGCAAGGTAGACACGCACACACATGCACGCACACGCACACACACACACGCATCGTTATACCAACAGGTAAACATTTTACTGAAACGGAAATGGTCATTTTTCGGATTGGGATACAATTTTACGGATGTGGACGCCTTTGAAGACAGAACCAACTGCGTCGATATCATGTCGGTGCTAGCAGCCGATGAAGCAGCGCCAGCGACTACTTCCACAGCCGGCTTCGTTTCAGTTACTGGCGGATCTTCAGCTGCTCCTTTGTCAGCTGCTGGGTCAGCTGCAGTAGCTACTAGCGGTGTTGATGTAGTAGGCGTCGGTGGCGATAACGGTGCTGGAGATAGAGGCAGCAACGACAGTGGCGTTGGGGGCGGCTACAGTGGCGACGTCATGAGGATGGAGGTTGACGTCGGCATCCAGGTTATTATGATGACGGTGATGTAGACGCTGATGACGATAGAAATTATAAATTTTTTATTGCGAAATTTTAAGCCACGACTATCCATCTAGCCATCCATCCAAACCATCCATCCATCCATCCGAACCATCCGTCCATCAGGCTGTGCCGGAAGTCTGCAGTCGGGAGGTTGACCGGATGATCGGGCTGTCGAAGAACGCCATCGTGCAGTGCCAGGCGAGAGAACTGACGGTCGAAGAGATCGAGGAGCACCTCTCTTCGGCGCGTATGAAGGAGTTTCTCCATGAGGCCATACCTAAGTTGGCTCTCACTTTCTTATAACCTCTCTCTCGTTATAAACGCTACAAAAAAACACTGTTACTATTTTTGGCGTTTACTGTTAATATTATTACCATTATTATGATTATTATTTTATTATAATAATAATAATAATAATAATAATAATAATTATTGTTATTATTATTATGATTATTATTATTATTATTATTATTATTATTATCAGTAGTAGTAGTAGTAGTAGTAGTAGTAGTAGTAGTAGTAGTAGTAGTAGTAGTAGTAGTAGTAGTAGTAGTAGTAGTAGTAGTAGTAGTAGTAGTAGTAGTAGTAGTAGGGTTAGTTGTTGTTGTTGTTACTCTTTGTAAATTCAGTTCAAGTTTGATGAAACAGTAATAAATAATTAAACAAACCAATGATCAAATGATGATAAGACAAAGTTAAACACTCGAACAAACAATTAAAAAACAAATGACTTGACAAACGAACAAACGAACGAACGAACAAATAAACAAACGAACAAATAAACAAACGAACCAACAAACGAACCAACAAACAAACAAACAGAGTGAACAGAGTGATTCAGCAGAACAAAACGCTCGACATGTTCTACGATGATTGGAAGCAGCTGAACGTCTCGTACAGCGTTATCTCTGGAAAGAGTGACAAGCAGCTTAAAGTTGGTTGCTGTTGGTTTATCATATATTTACAATACAATGCAATACATTACAATACAACACAATACAATACATTACAATACAATACAATACAACACAATACAATACAATACAATACAACACAATACAATACATTTCTATACAATAATATACAATGTAATTCAATACAGTGCAATACAATACAATGCAGTGCAATACAATACAACACAATACAACACAATACAATACAACACAATACAACACAATACAATACAATACTACAATACAAGGCAATACAAATACAATACAAAACAACACAATACCATACAAAACAATACAATACAAAACAATACAATACAATACAAATACAATACAATACAATACAAACACAATACAACCACCTAAAGACAATAAACAAAATACCGTAATGTCGCCAGGAATATCAATCGTACACAGACCTACAGCACGGCAAAACGCGCACTGTCTCCTGTATCGCTTGGCATCCAAGATTAGCTGGCATCGTGGCAGTATCAATAATTGATAGTCTATCATTATATGATAGAGTTGACCAGGCCACTAAATTTATGAGTAACCCGAATCTTATACTGATCTGGGGTCTAGATGATCAGATGCATCCATTGGTTGGTTGGTTGGTTGTTGATTGGTTGGTTGAGTCGGTTGGTTGAGTTGATTGGTTTGGTTTGTTGATTGGTTGGTTGGTTGGTTGATTGGTTGGTTGATTGACTGGTTGATTGGTTGATTGATTGATTGATAAGTTTATGAGTAAGCCGAATTTTATACTTATCTATTGCATTCGCTCGAGTTGGTAGATTGATTGATTGGTTGGATTGGATGGTTTGTTGAGTTGGTTGATTGATTGATTGGTTGGTTGATCGATCGATCGAGTTGATTGATTGAATTGGTTGGTTGATTGACTGATTGGACTGAATTGAATGAATGAATGAATGAATGAATGTTTGATCGATTTGATTATTTGACATTACCATCGTCACTACCATCACCGCCAACATCTTGATTAGCTAATCTTGGAAAGTCCAGATCAAATCCTCTGCTTCCAGTTCAATCCCACCAACGACAACTGGATAGCTGGTGGGTGTTTCAACGGCATGGTAAGTAGCTACGCACCGTATTAATTAACATAAAATTAACATAGATTACCATTATCGCGGTGTAAATTTGCATAAAATAATTTAAATTAGCCTTGCCAATTTGAGACATACTTCAAGATTTGCACATTTGTTTTATTTAGCGCAAACTTTTAAACACCCATTTTATATGAAGAAGTTATCAAAAAACAACTTAACCTAATTTATTTCACATTAATTTACATAAGATGGCTTAAATTAGGACAGATTAACATAAATTAGCGTAAATTAGCATGAATTAACCTGCAGGTCGTACTATGGGACATAAGCTACCATCAGGAGAAGTTGGCAATTTCAAGAGCGGGTGCTAAAAAGAATGTTCTACAGCTGGTTGGTATCAATCAATCAATCAATCAATCAATCAATCAATCAATCAATCAATCAATCAATCAATCAATCAATCAATCAATCAATCAATCAATCAATCAATCAATCAATCAATCAATCAATCAATCAATCAATCAATCAATCAATCAATCAATCAATCAATCAATCAATCAATCAATCAATCAATCAATCAATCAATCAATCAATCAATCAATCAATCAATCAATCAATCAATCAATCAATCAATCAATCAATCAATCAATCAATCAATCAATCAATCAATCAATCAATCAATCAATCAATCAATCAATCAATCAATCAATCAATCAATCAATCAATCAATCAATCAATCAATCAATCAATCAATCAATCAATCAATCAATCAATCAATCAATCAATCAATCAATCAATCAATCAATCAATCAATCAATCAATCAATCAATCAATCAATCAATCAATCAATCAATCAATCAATCAATCAATCAATCAATCAATCAATCAATCAATCAATCAATCAATCAATCAATCAATCAATCAATCAATCAATCAATCAATCAATCAATCAATCAATCAATCAATCAATCAATCAATCAATCAATCAATCAATCAATCAATCAATCAATCAATCAATCAATCAATCAATCAATCAATCAATCAATCAATCAATCAATCAATCAATCAATCAATCAATCAATCAATCAATCAATCAATCATATTCCTTTACTTTCTTGCTTTCTATTTATTCATCCATCCGTCCGTCCATCATTTTTCATTCATTCAATCATTCGTTTATTGTCTTTTATGTATCCGTCCATTCATCCACTAATGGATACGTCTATATTCCTTTATCCATCTATCATTCATTCGTTCGTCTATTTTTATCCATCTGTCTTTTATTTCATTCATTTGTTCATTTGGTTATCCATCTATCTGTCCATCCATCCGATTTCATTTGTTCATCCATCATGCGATTATTCACTTCTTAATATATCCAACCAAATCAATTTAGTCTACGGATTTCGACAAATCTAAAGTGACCGAAACAGTTCGGTATTGCGCAGTATCGAGTATCGAACACAGTCACTCCCTGCCCATCACTGATATAATATGGCTACCTCGCTACCACCATGTCTGCATCTTTAGTTTTGTATATCATTATGCTGTGATACTGTATCATTATATTTATATTGCTGTGATACTGTATCATTATATTTATATTGCTGTGATACTGTATCATTATATTTGTATTTCTTTCTTTTGTGTTGTAGCATCTGGTTTGTATGTCTTATTTGATATTGTAATAACGTGTTTTTATGTTTAACTTTGTATCATTTATGTTTATTTAGAATATCATTACATTTGCACGTTTGATATAGTATCAATGTGATTGCTCTGATATAGAATCATTATTAAAAACTTTTAAAGCATGTTTACCCTAAAAGTCTTTTTAAAATTATCAAAAAATGTACGGATAGATAGACGTATTTATTGTATGTTTGATATGGTATCATTATATTTGTATGCTCGATATTGTATCACTATGTTTGTATCTCTACTTTGTTTGTATCTCTACTTTATCATTTTGTACGTATGTTTGTATCATCTTTTTTTTCAGGTAAGTAAATTTGGCTACTTATCAGAAAACAAAACCGAACAGTGCGTCCAATTGTTAACCTGTTCACCAGACCAGTAAGTTCTTGTATGTATGTATGTGTCTGTCTGTCTGCCTGTATGTATGTATGTATATCTGTCTGTCTGTATGTATGTATGTATGTATGTATGTATGTATGTATGTATGTATGTATGTATGTCTGTATGTATGTGTGGGTGTATGCATGTGTGTGTATATTTCTCTGTTTGTTTGTGTGTATGTATTGGTATATACATATATATATATATATATATATATATATATATATATATATATATATATATATATCTTTTATATATCTTTTACCAGCATATATAGATATATATACGTTTGTAAGGCATAATTTTTGGTTTTACTGAACGTATTTTTGCGTAATAATTAAAATTTATCTCTTACAATGCCGATTGGAATGTATGCAGTTCTGCAGTTTACCTGCAGTAACATAATAAGTCAACTAAATGAAGTCTGCAAGGTGGAATGTGACATTGTTTAAATCTCAGGACGTAGGTGGGCCTCTGATGTGGGCATCCGTCTGACGGGCCATGTCTGCCCGGCTTGCTAGGGCCGGTCATTGCGACTCATAAAATGATCAAAATGTCAATTCGCCATCTCTACAACACCTTAATAACCTCCAAAAATAACGTCCAAAAATACCTTAGCCCGTCACTGCAGCGCGAGAGGTACATGCCCAAGTTACGTCATGAGGGCACGATGAGGAAAAAGTATGCCCTGTCGAGCCTCCACATGGGGGTGGCGGGCAACCCTAACAACCCCTCGCAGATGTTAAGGGCCCTCAAGACGAAAAATATTGAGGAGGCGTGTTTTTTCACCGACGAAGAACAGATTGATCTCATGCCTGGGTCTTGATAATGATGATGACGAAGATGACGACGATGATGATAATGATGATGATAATGATGATGATGACAGTGACGATGATGATAGTAATAGTTCTTCTGTTCTTCTTTTGTGCCGATCACTCTATCTCACTTATCAGCAATATGTGTACACAGGCAATGAATTAGACTGTATATATCGTAATAGTGTAAAGATGTACATTGTACAATGTAAATATGTAGGTAGTGTATGTATGTATGTATGCTTGTCTGATTGTTTGTATGTATGTGTGTTTGTATGTATGTGTGTATGTCTGTTTATTTGTATTTATATATGTATGTATGTATGTTTGTATGTATGTATGTTTTGTTTGTTTGTATGTATGTTTTTTGTATGTATGTATGTTTGTATTTACGTATATGTACATTTTATTTAGTCTCTATTATACATATATGACATTTTCAAAACAATTTTTTGCACTTGTACCATAGTTTAGAAAATGTATATAATGTATATATGATGCATATACGTGTTGGTAGTGTTTGTATTACTTGTATATATTTACACACACACACACTCACACACACACTCACTCACACACACACACACACACTCACAAACAAACAAACATATAATAATACTGTGTCTGTATAATGGTAACTGTGTGGCTTTTATATAATATAATATAATTTATATAATATAAATTTTGATTTGAGTTTTTTCATTTTAATTCATCAGTCGATCGATTCATTAGTTCATTTCTTTATTTGTTCTTCTATTTTCTTATCAATCCATTCATTCATCCATCCGTCCATCCATCCATCCATCCATCCATCCAACCATCCATCCAACCATCCATCCATCCGTCCATCCAACCAACCATCCATCCATCCATTCATTCATCCATCCATTCAGATCAATATTATTCTGGGATATCAGAACGCACAAGGAGAGAATACCACAAGAAAACAAATCGTGTTAGTATCACATAAGTATCATTAAGGTATCGTGTAGTAGATATCCTAAAAGTATCTCATAAGTATCATCGAAGTGTTGTGTAGATATCTTAAAAGTATCACAAAAGTATCATCGAGGTATCATGTAGATATTGTAAAAGTATCACAAAAGTATCATCGAGGTATCATGTAGATATCGTAAAAGTATCACAAAAGTATCATCTTCTAAGAATCGCCTAAGTATCATTTAAAGATTTAGAACTATATCCTCGAGTATCCCACAATAATCACACACTTACTTACCATACAAGTATCCCATACCAGCGTAGATAAATATCACTCATCAAGTATCATAAAAGTGGATACCATCATATATCGTATCGTATATCATTGCATGTAAATAGTTTAAAAATTCTTCATTGAAATAGAAAAAAAAAACTCCGTGCAATAGACTCATGAACACATGACAACAGATATTATCACATGCATACACACACGTACGCACAGACGTACGCACACACGTACACACACACACACACGTACACACGCACACGTACACACACACGCACACAGCGTGTCATACATTGACACCGTCAACTTTCAAACACCTGGATTACGTGTGGCGACCGTTGCTGAAAGTTTCCACAATCAAAAATGAAACCGGAGCAGATTTCGCTCCCGTCAAATTCTCCATATCTCCGGATAACTATCAAAGACCAGGTGAGTGAGTGAGTGAGTGAGTGAGTGAGCGAGCAAGTGAGTGAGCGAGTGAGTGAGCGAGTGAGTGAGTGAGTGAGTGAGTGAATTAATGAGTGAGTGAGTTAATGAGTGAGTGAGTGAGTTAATGAGTGAGTGAGTGAGTGAGTAGACGAGTATAGTAAAAAATAAGACGATAATTACAAACATTTTAATTATACTAATGATGTTGACGATGATGATGATGATGATGACGACCTTTGCTATGCTGATTATAAAGAAAAAATAATAACAATAATAATAACGATGATGATGATTATGATGGTGATGGTGGTGATGATGATGATTATGATGGTGGTGATGGTGGTGATAATGATCAGTTACTGCTGATGCAACTGGAGTCAACCAGGGGAACCCGGAGCTTAACATCTCGACGAAATTTTATGTGGGAACTGAGGTAGCGTTCATCGTCATCATCATCATCGTCATCATCATCATCGTCATCATCATCATCGTCATTATTATTAGTACTACTATCATCATCGTTATCGTTATCATCATCATCAACATGATCGTAATCATTATCAGGACGGCGAGGTCCTCTATCTCGATTGGTCGCCAACTAAAGACCAAGAGTCGGGGAAATATCAAAGTAGGAAATGACGTCATTTCCGTCGTATTGTCCCCTTATTGTCATTATCATTACCGTCACACCTCACCATCGTCATCTTTATCAAAATCATCATCATCATCGTCGCAATCCTCGATAGTTAAGCATACACTCGTGAACAAACAAACAAATGCACATAAACTCACACACAGACACACACACACATTACACAAACACCACACACATATAAACACACAAACACACAAACACACCAGCGCAGAAACCGATGTTTGCCTTTCAAATTCACGATGGGCCGGTGGTTTCCTTGACGAGGTCTCCATTTTTTCCTAGAGTCGTGTTGAGTGTTGGCGGCCTTTTGTTTGCACTCTGGCGGGAGAACGTCAACGTACGTCTGGCTGTTTCTTTCTTTCTTTCTTTCTCTCTTTCTTTCTTTCTTTTCCCCCCTCTCCTTCTCTCTCTCTCTCTTTCTCTCTCTCTCTCTTTCTTTCTCTTTCTTTCTCTCTCTCATAACACAAAAACAACAACAACTAACACCAAGAACCTCACACCGTCAACAATGTTTTAATAACTAACAACAGCAATTAGAATCAAAACAACAATAATAACCAATACAACAACAACGATAACAACCGTAACAACGACAACAACAACAACAACAATAACCCCACACCAACCCCAACAGACAGGGCCCATCTTCGTGAGCGGGTCTTCCGCGAAATATCTAAATGGGGGCATGTGGTCAGGGACGAAGCCCGCGGTCTTCTTCCTCATTAGGATAGATGGAGTCATTGAGGTTTTTTTTTATTGTTGTAACGACGGACGACTACGATGGTGAAGTTGATGACGGTGATGATGATGATGAAGATGATGATGATGAAGATGACGATGATGAAAATGACGATGAAGAAGATGACGATGATGAAAATTATGAAAATGAAAATGATGACGATGATGATGACGGTGATGAAAATGATGATGAAGAAGATGACGATGATGAAGGTGATGATAGCTAATGATGACGACAACGATGATGATGACGATAATGATGATGATGACAGATATGGGATATGCTGGCATCAACCCACGAACCCAGCTGGATACAGAGCATCTCCGGATCGTCTCTAACGTCCATATGCATCCTAGCCAGTTTGTATTGGGGGTGATGATGGTGGTGGTATTGTTGGTAATGATGATGATGGTAAAAATGAAAAAATGTTTTTGTTCGTTCCGTCAATCAAACATCCATCTATTCATCCACCCACCCACCCATCCATCCATCCATCCATCCATCCATCCATTAATCTATCATACCATTCATCCATCCATCCATCAATCACTCATCCATCCACAACAGAATCAGCGCGCTTATTAGCGTTAGGTGACTCGAATGGAACGTTACATTTACTGGAACTACCACCGATATTTTACATTCCAAAAAGCAACGAAGTACGTAGGATAATCAATTAACTAATTAGTGTTAATTGGTCACTTTTTTAATATAATTAAAGTTAACTTGACGCGGCAAAGTGGCTAAGTGATAGAGTGTCTGACACTTGCGTCGCAGTCACTGGGTTTGAAAGCACGCATGATGCGTTGATTCCACACTCAGTGACGCATTACTTTTTTATAACAAATTATTAGTTAATTAGTTGATTAACTCTAATTAGTTCTTAATTAATTAGGTCCAATCAATTTCAGACGGAAAAGTTTGGTGCCTATTTAGAAAGTGAAACAAAGAGGCGTGAATACGTGGAGGCGAGGTGGGCGATGAGGGACGAAGAACGGGTGCAGATGGACATTGCTGCGAAAATTTTATCAAAGGTTAGGTGTGTGTTTGTATGTATGCATGGTTGTATGTGTTTGTTTGTCTGTTTGTTTTATATGTATGTATGTTTGTTTTTGTTTGTTTGTATGTATGTGTGTGTGTGCGTTTGTATGTTTATTTGTTTGTATGTTAGTATGCTAGTTTCACTAACATCAACACTATCATATTTTTTTTTGTTTGAATGTATGCGTTTGTATGTTTATTTGTTTGTATGTTAGTATGCTAGTTTCACTAACATCAACACTATCATATTTTTTTTTGTTTGAATGTATGTGTGTGTTTTTATGTTTGTTTGTATGTGTGTGTATGTATGTTTTATGTGTGTTTGTATGCTTGTTTGTATGTATGTGTGTGTATGTATGTTTGTTTGTATGTTTGCTAGTTCCATCAACATCAGCACTATCTTATAGGCCGAGCCGGTACCTCAGCTAACGGAAGATGAACTAGAAGCCAGGGATCGTCTAGAGTATGAAAAATATCTTGAAGAAGAAATACAATTTCTGAAGGAACTCGGCATGTATGAGGAGGAAGTTGTCGCCACTGCAGCTGTTCGCCCTGCCTCTCTTGGTGGTGGTGGTACCGCTGAGAAACTTAATACTTCTATGGCCGTTTCTTAACCACATGAAGTTTTGGCTGCTAATGCTGCTGCTGTTAACGCTACTACTACTACTACTACTACTGCTGCTGCTGCTGCTGTTGTTGCTACTAACGCTGCTGTTGCTACTACTATTACTGCTGCTACTGCTACAACCACTACAGCTACTACATGTTTTTCAAGTATCTATCGAAAGCCCAGATTTAGTTTCTGTTCGTTTCTTACAATCTACTTATTTATTTAATTAATTATTTATTTAATTAATTAATTATTTTTATTCATTTTATTACGGCACAGTAATCGTACAACTGCAATTGATTTTTCATTTATAATAATAAAATAATATTAGTAATATTTGTAAATGTAATTATAATTATTATGCCATAATTTTAATGCACGAGCGGGCTTTCTCTAGTATATCATTTCTTATCTTTGGGTATTTCGGATAGACTGAAAGAACCTGAAGAAAAATGAATGAATAAATTATATATATATGTATATAGTAAATGAATGAGTGAATGAATGAGTGAATGAATGAATAATGAGGGAGTGAATGAGTGAATGAATTCGCGAGTGAGTAAACGAATATTCAATAGAGTAGCAGTAAAAAATGAATGGACAAATGAATGAGACTGAATCATTAAATGATTAACAAACAAATTATGGATGGAAAGAAAAGAACGAACGAAATAATGAATGAACGAATGAAAGAATGAACGAATGAATGAATGAACGGACGAATGAATGAATGATTAAATGAAGAGATGAACGATACCTCGTGACAGACATCAATAGCGTCGGTATATTTTTTAATCTTTAACGAACAGTAGGCCAGTTTATAACCTAGAAAGAGAGAGAGAGAGAGAGAGAGAGAGAGAGAGAGAAAGGAAGAAAGAGAAAGAGAAAGAGAGAGAGAGAGAGAAAGAAATAAATAAAATAAACGATGAAGGGTAAAAACGTAAAATTTTTCACGCTAGTAAGTTTATCAAACTCTTAACACAATTACAAGAATAGATAATGAACTAATTTACCAATCAGCTATCTAACCAATCGACCAGATATCCAATTTACCAATCAATCACTCAATCATCCGATCAATCATCCAACCAATCATCCAATCATTTATCCAATCATTTATTTAACCAATCAACCAACGGTGGGATTTTTTTTATGGGCATATTTCCACTCAATCATCCAATCAATCATCCAATCAATCATCCAATCAATCAACCAATCAATTATCCAATCAATTATCCAATCAATTATCCAATCAATCATCCAACCAACCAACCAATGGTGGGATTTTTCTTATGGGCATATTTCCAGGCCAGAGCATAATTATCGACTGCCATTTTGAATGACTGCTCTAGCTCGCATAAGTAGCCCAAATATTCATACGCCTTGCTACATGACTGATGATGATGTTGTTGATGATAATGTTGTTGTTGATGATGATAATGTTGATGATGTTGTTGCTGATGTTATTGATGATAGTGATGTTGTTGTTGTTGTTGATGTTGTTGATGATGTTGTTGTTGTTGATGATGATGCTGAAACAAATAACCATGATAAAAATGATGACAATGATTGTGATAAAATTGATTATGATGATGACGATGATGGTAACGTGTATATGATGATGATGATGATGATGATGATGACGACGATGATGATGACGACGATGATGATGAAGATGATCTCACCTTGTTGTATAGAATGCACTTGTCTAGAATCTGTTTAGCCGGTTCGAAACTTTCTTTCTGTTCATAATTTAAAAATAAAAATTATTATTTATTTTTATTATTTTTCTTTCTTTATTATATCTCAAAAGTGCCTTCAACAAACACACAGTGTATGTGTGTGTTGTGTGTGTGTGTATGTGTGTATTATAGATTTTCATAATGTGTAAGTAAACAATGTACATACCTGAATGCACATATCTGCCAATAGTAACCAACTTTTTTCAAGGTAGCTGGCGTCCTGAATATGTGTATATGTGCGTGTATGTGTGTGTGTGTATGTGTGTGTGTGTGTATGTGTGTGTGTGTGTGTGTTTCTGTTTTGTGTAGGTGTTATGTGTTGGAACTTAATGCTGTTGTTTGCTGCATTCATGTGAGAGTCATGCCTGCTCTGTATGTTTAGACTAGAGCAAGAAAAAGAAGAGAGGCAGAAAGGAAGAGTGAGAGAGAGAGAAAAAAAAAAGGAGACAAAAGAGAGAGTGAGAAAGAAAATATGAAAAAAATTAAGATAGGAAAGAGATTTGGAACACATACCTCAAAATTCCAGGTCACTCTGTCAATTCTCTTCAGTTGGCTCTTTGCTTTGGCTGGTTGTTTCAGTAGGATGAAAGCAACTGCCGTACCGTATAATATCATCACATTGTCTGGCTGATGTGCGCGCGTGTGTGTGTACGTGTGTGTGTACGTGTGTGTGTACGTATGAGTGTGTGCGTGTGTGTGTGTACCTACGTGTGTGTAGAATACATGTGAATATTTGTGTGTGGGGGTGTTTTAGTTTGGAGGTTGAATGTTAAAAGTGTTGAAAGTTGTATTGGAGACAAACAACGAATTATTTAAACCGCTCAGCCAATCAAACAACTGAACAATCAAAAAACTAGTAAATAAATCAACCAATCAATCGGCATAAATTAGTTAAATCAACCAATCATATCGACCAATCAAATTTACCAATCAAATCGACCGACAAATCAGTCAGTCAGTCAGTCAGTCAGTCAGTCAGTCAGTCAGTCAGTCAGTCAGTCAGTCAGTCAGTCAGTCAGTCAGTCAGTCAGTCAGTCAGTCAGTCAGTCAGTCAGTCAGTCAGTCAGTCAGTCAGTCAGTCAGTCAGTCAGTCAGTCAGTCAGTCAGTCAGTCAGTCAGTCAGTCAGTCAGTCAGTCAGTCAGTCAGTCAGTCAGTCAGTCAGTCAGTCAGTCAGTCAGTCAGTCAGTCAGTCAGTCAGTCAGTCAGTCAGTCAGTCAGTCAGTCAGTCAGTCAGTCAGTCAGTCAGTCAGTCAGTCAGTCAGTCAGTCAGTCAGTCAGTCAGTCAGTCAGTCAGTCAGTCAGTCAGTCAGTCAGTCAGTCAGTCAGTCAGTCAGTCAGTCAGTCAGTCAGTCAGTCAGTCAGTCAGTCAGTCAGTCAGTCAGTCAGTCAGTCAGTCAGTCAGTCAGTCAGTCAGTCAGTCAGTCAGTCAGTCAGTCAGTCAACTAACATCCGTCTTGGAGAGCTCCAGCAAATTATTCAGGGCAGCTTCAACGAGATGTACATCCTGCTGCTGCTGGCGATAATGTGTCACGATGATGAATAGATTGACGATTGACGTGGTGCGTGACGTCACCCGGTGACAGCCGAATCTCCTGGAAACGTTATAAGCCAAAATGAGTGGATGAATGAAAGATCGACAAGTGGACTTGTGAAAGATCGAATTTTTCGGATGAATAGAATAAAGAATAAAAGAATGAATAAATTTTTGTGAATGAATGAAGAAATGGATGAATGAATGAATGAATGGATGGATGGATGAATGGATGGATGAATGAATGAATGAATGAATGAATGAATGAATAAATGAATGAATGAATGAATGAATGAATGAATGAATGAATGAATGAATGAATGGATGAATGAATGAGTGAACGATGATCACGAGACTTGTTTTGTGACCTTGAGGAGCCTATCAGCCGTCTCCATTCCAATGATATCTGCCTCTATTTGATCCTTGCTGTTTTGTTAGTTGTTAATTTAATGCAATTTTAATGCGATTCAATATTGTTAATTTAATGAAATTTAATGCATTTTAACCTATTTTAATGTACAAATACGTTTTTTTTGATGTAATTAATCGTATTTCAAATTATTATTCCATATGTAAAGTATAATAAAATACACAATAGTTGTGGTGTAATTTATCTATCAAATCAGCCTCTTACTAACCAAACCAACCAACCAATCAATCAAACGAAGGTACCGCCCACTAACTCGTTCATATTGGTCTTGTTGACTCCTCCCCCGATGACGTCATCGTCCGGATTGATGCAAATGTCAACCATCAGATAGATGGATTGTCTGCCGTATTCGGCGTCTTTTCGCGCCCTATTCAAATGCTTCAAGGCTCCGTCGACGTCGTGCATGTACCTGTGTGTGTGTGTGTGTGTGTATGTGTTTGTTTGTGTGTGTGTGGTGTTTGTGGTGTGTTTGTGTGTGTGTATGTGTGTGTGTGTAAAGTTGCATCATTTGGTTTAATTAATAAAAAATAACAAAAGCGTTACTAGTTGACCAATCATAAAGTCCCTTGCAAAAATTATAGCCGGGCTGATGAATCCTCTGATCTGATTGGTCGGTGATGTTGACGTAGGCGTGGCATTCCTCCAATCGCCCTGCCCTCCTCATCATCTCAATGACTTTGATGAAGACTATGTAGTTGTCTGATTGGTTGATTGGATGGTGATAATGGTGGTAGAGAGATTGAAAAAAATATTAAAAATATAGTAGCACAAAAATCGAACCGGCGTGTTTGCTGCTGTGGGGGTCCAAAATTAGGGATGTGCAGAGTTGGGTGATGTGCTGCATAGCTTCTTCCTGTCTGCCATTTTTCATCAGAACTTCTGCTAACATCTTAGCAAAAACAACATCAAAATTATCAACAAAAACATCAACAAAGCACGTCAACAACCTCAACATTAACAACATCAAAAAACAACAAAAACATCAACAAAAAAATCAACAAAATCAACATAAACATCAACAACATCAACAAAACATCAACAACATCAACAAAGCACATCAACAACTTCAACAAAAACATCAACAACATCAACAAAGCACATCAACAACATCAACAAAGCACATCAACAACATCAATAAAAACATCAACAACACCAACAAAAACTAACAGCCGTGGCTCGTTGCTGCTGTACACCCTGCTGAATGAGCTGGCTGCACGCGCTGATACAACCCTCACTATCTTCAATTAACATCAACAAGCCCGCCAACTCCAGCATTATCTGTTGAAGTTGATGATGTCGACTGTGACGTCATCATCATTATCACCGCTACCGATATCATTACCTTCGATATCGTCATCGCAATCATCAGCAGCAGCGTTTGCATAGTCGATGTTGTTATTATTATTATTATTATTAATATTATTATTATTATTACAGGACGTACTCAATCATCATCATCATCATCATCATCATCACAACCATCATTATCATCATCATCATCATCACGATCGTCATCGTCATCATGACCTGAGCGTCTTGTGGTTGATGAAAGAGAGCTTGTTTATACAGTTCAATGGCTTTGTTGTAATCCCGCACTAACTTGTTATGATCCGCTAAACAGCAGTATATTCTGAAGGAGTGAAGGAGTGAAGGAATGAAAGAGTGAGTGAGTGAGTAAATGAATAAATAAATGAATAAACCAGTAGATGAATGACTGAAAGTGAAAAGAGTAAGCGAATGAGTGAGTGAATAAATAAATAAATGAACTTGATCCTTAGCAGTTTAAGTCATGCTTACGGTCGCAATAATTATTGATAGTTAATAATTATTGATTTCGTCATTGTCATCACTTTTATCATCATCATCAATATCATTATCATCTTTATCATCTTCATTACTGTCATCATCAATATCATCATCATCATCTTCATCATCATCATCGAACTTTGCGG